AGTTAAAACTTTTTACTTTGGTTAGGGTTGTAAGGGTTAACATTTCTACTTGGTTATGTCTCTTTGCAATGTTAGGAAAGGCTGTGAGGGGTCTGAGGTGGCTTCACCATTTTATGTTAAGTGAATGAGAAACACAATCCTCATATTTTAGTCCTAAGCCTTTCTATTAGGACAGATCACCATGAAGGTGATGAGAAGAAAACATGGAATCAGCCATCTTGTCTGTTGTAACAAAACATCTAAAAAGGTAAGAACATTTAAAAAAAAATAATTTTACAAACAATAAGATCACAAACATATAGAGGGGTTGTCTCAAATTTGACTGCTACAGTGGAAATACACTATAAAAAATTGTTTTATTCACGTATTCTCAGCCACGGCACCTGTGACTGGTGGACAGAAATTGCTCAGTTGCTTGCAGGGACTGCCTCTGTTCTCGCTGATGCAAAATTGTCTTGCCGCTGGCCAATTTCTATCAAATTCTTATTGAGGATTAGGAGAATGCAGGTAATAAAGCAGTATAAAAAAAGTGGCCCGTGGCAAGACTGTTTTAACAAGCAGAACTGGGCCAAAATGCACTAGAGACACAATACAGAGAATATAACTGGATGTTACAATTTATAAATAATAACATTTGGAGATTTTGGACACAATTACCTTATCATGTGTACCGCAATGTGGTGTGTTGCATTGCTATAACACCATGCATTGCACCCAACGCACTGCACAGCACAGATGCAAGCTATGCACAACACTGCACATTGCGGTGCACTTTGATAAATAAAAAGTGCTTGTCTGATTTTTTTGTGTTTGGGTGTGCTGCCACAGGTGCAATTAATGGGCTACCTTAACGCAGCACACCTTAACGCATGGTGAAATGTTGTGTTAATCCAACATGTAATGTGAAGAAGCTGAGAATGATCTCATAGCAGGAGTTTAGTTAACAACAAAAAAAGGACTCCACGTGTACAGAAAACATTCACTTTAATTAAGGCTGATTTGGGCTCATTTTGAGCAGAATGTTCCACTGAAATTGCAGAGTAGTTAAAGAAGAAATTCCTGCATAAAGTGCAACAAAACAGAAAGCTATAAATTAAAAGAAAAATGTTCTATACACAAATCACAAAAATGATTAGAACTACCATTAAATAAATAAAACAAAGTCATCTAGGATTTGCAAACATACATACATACAACTTTGCCATTTAACATAAAATCTAATTCTGAAAATGCACAAACTTTACTCGCAGTGTGACAAGATATTTACACTGATGTCTCAGAAAGCAGCCCTGAAATTCACAATTCTTTGGGAAGACATTAACAGCCCTGAGCTTCATTTGGAGGGCACTTGCCATTCATACACAATGAAGACAGCTTTTTTTGTAGACAAGCATTTTCAGACTGATGATTGAAAAGGGATTAAATGCCTCAGTATAATGGGTCATATAAGGGCCTCATATCACAGTGGACTGTTACTTGTCTCTAATAAGCCATATTTTTTTTAAACTATATAGATGTATTACAAAAGAACTAGAGTGTGGACCACTCAATATTGACAACAGGTACTATTTAATGCCCTCATTGATGCAAATTTGAGGTTTGAAAATAGCAAAGCAAAAGAAAAGAACTAACTATAGCTACAGGACTGTTTACTCTTGTATTCCAGTTGTCCGTTTTAATCTACAATAGGTATTTCCTTGAAACAGTCAGAGTTATTTACAAAAGGGTGAAGGGTTTGGAGAAGGCAGGAGAAGTGAACAATCTAGGACAACATAGCTGAACTGGAAAGTGAGCTAGATGAGTATATTTCCATTTTAGCTATTTTGGCCTAGATTGTTCACTTCTCCTGCCTTCTCCAAAAGCTTCACCCTTTTGTGATTAACCCTGCTAGATTTCTGGCTTTCCTTCTATGAAACAGCCATTGTGCATTCAATTCTTCCTAGGAGTGCATACAGAATTCAGCATGAGAAGCCAAGCAACCTAGCCTGGCTTTAAACTAAATGATATGCCAATGGTTGTTGCAGAGAAGCTGGAATTACAGAGAGAGCGTATTAGCACTATATGACACTGAATTGTCAGTTTTAGGTAATTAGGATTAGTTTCTTGTTCTCACCAACAGTCAGTAGTTCTTGACAAGCAATAAATACACTGAATCAACAAAATCAAAATCATACAAAATAGTGAAAAAGTTGTCAAGAGTTGTTAAAATGCATGGCATGACACAAAGTCAGCCATTAGTAGCAGCCTGGGTTGCTATAATATTATGCTAGCCTTACTGGTTAACCTTCTGTCAGAGTACTGATACCAGTAAAACAACTTTTAAAATAAAATATACAGAGATTTCAAAACGACTTTGTAAACTTATTTTGCTTTGTAAAACATTTTACACATACTCAAGGCACAATTTTAAGAAAAGGCTGATTCAAACCCCCTTAGCTATTAAATAAGCCCTATAAAAGTTAATACATTTAAGAAGAAAAAAAAAGATGCAGTAATATCATAAACTAAAAGTTACTGAGATAGCACAAAGTATTCCTCCATCAAAAGGGAACCTAAGTTAGTTGATGTACATAGGCTGCCACTGTCAAGTTGACCCAATGGCTTCAATACTTGGAGCCACTGTCCTGAAATAAGCATGCAGTTTAGCAATTCTCATTTAACTACCTGCATATGTTCCAGGTCAGAAAGTTAAAACACAGACGCCAGAATTAGCTTGACAATCAGGCAAATCATTTTTAGAGGCCCTCCACAATGGCTGCCTGAATATTTGTCTTGGTCCTGGCCTTTCATTCAGTAAGAGCAATGTCAGGCAGTAAACCCACATCAATCAAGCATATTTAGCATTTCATTAGTTTACAGCAGTCAGAACAGTGAAACACGGTTGATGAATGACTGTTGCAGATTACTGCACTTTGCTCTTTGTGCTATTACATAAAATCTGCATGATCATTATTGGTTACATAACAATTCAATATCTGCAGCAATAAACTATGCGGATTTGTACAACTTGTATAGCTTCCATTTTTATTCTTAGTCAATGATTTCGTAATATTGATGTGACTAAAGGCAAACATATCTCAGATGTTCTTACACTTCTGGTGTTGAACACAGCATGGTTTCTTGGATATTTATACCTGAAACCTGTAATGGTATTCGCACCTCAAGCTGCATGCATGATAGCTTCTTAAAGTGAACCGATCGAGATAGAAATGTGGAAGTTGTGGACTGATTTATAAAGGCACAGGCTCAAATGTCATCATCCTGATTCTAGCTTTACTACCTAGACAGTCAGCAACAGCAGCTCCCCCTTTTCTATCTCCACTGTATACATTACAGGCCAGCTGGACCTGGTTTCCATGATCCGGCCACCTAACTATAATTTTTTTTAAATAATTAGTCCAGTAACAAAAATGTTGAGATGAGAGGGAGAGAAAAGTAGCCAGACATCCTCATTATTGGCATTGTCTTAGGGAAAACAACCAGCTGTCTTCTAGAAAAATCAAGACAAGCTGATCACTAGTTCCCCCAAATTATTGCCAAGGGTGTTTGCCTTCATTGTGACAATTTTATGTTAAATGTACAATTAGTGTGGACACAAATAGGCAGGTCTATTTCCAACACTATGGCTTGATTTGATGTGCACAAAGTTTGGGTGAAGCACTTTGCTCCCCTGATAACTATTATTGTCTGACATCTCAACCAATACTCTGCTGTAAGCTGACATTCCAGTGAGCAGATTTTCCTATTTAATAAATAAATTCACTATGGGGGCAGTGCCACTACCTACCAAACATTTAGAGAATGAAGTAAGGAGAACAGAGCAAGGAAGGTCAACTCACAGTAGATGCCTGTCTGTCGAGGCCAAGCTGGAAGAAGATCTCCATATCAAAAGGCACCAACAGTCATAAAGACTTGGTAGAAGAATCAGCAGAAGCTTCAACCAATAGTAGAAAAAGGTATGAGTATTGTGGATCTCTATTGTCTCCCAGCTTCTCAGACACTGAGGACTGCGGTTGTTATGTGAGGAATGTAAGTGGCAAATGCTGCTGCACTCTGTATCGCTTAGCTGGTCACAGAGAGATCTCTTATCTTTCCACCGGTTCAGTGACTAAAATTGGGGCACTCGCTGTTCTGCTTCCAGTGTTGCATCTGGTGTAATTAGGGTGTGCCCAGGCACACCCCCCCTGCACATGCCTATGGGTAGACCGCAAGTAAAAAATTTACTTTAGCTCAGCTGCTTCCTTCTGCTGTCAGTTGCAAAAAAAAAAAAAGGGAGCACTGAAATACTTACCTGACCTTTTTTATGAGCTCCCTCTGCATGCCATTCATCTTCTTTAGTGCAGCTCTGTATGAGGCAAGGGCACTGGCTGGCTGCTCAAGAAAGGAAGTCCATCAGTTCCTCAGCTTCACATACAGCAATGACAATTAAATAGAAGTGAAGATAGCGGCCAGTAGCACTTTGGGAGCTTGCACATGCTGACACTCAACATTTCAGTATCCGATTGGACAGGCTTGGAGTAGCAGACCTAAAGTAAATATTTGACATTAGGCCTGATTTAACTTCAATGCCAACTGATAAAGGCGTACCATTGCCATAGCAACCACTGCATTCCATACAAAACACAGAGCATTAAGACATTTGCAAAAAGAATATCAAGAGATTTCTAAACTGTAAATAGCGATCATTTGGTACGGCCTTAAACGAACATTCCATCAAAAAATAAATAAATACAGTGTCCAGTACCTCGATCCCATAATTGTAAAATAAAAAAAAGAACCGTAATAGGCTCAAAGTCCTTTGGTTGCATCACATATAGCTCCTGCTATCTTCAACACAATTGTTGATCTTAAAAGGAAATGCAAACTAAAAACTATTAAACGTTCATCTTTTGTAAAAAGAACAATTATTAAATATAAATAGCTAAATTATTTGCAGCATAAAAAATATAACATCTCTATAGTTTTCTTCAATCTTCCAGTAACGCCATTCAGACTTCATGTCCCAGCAGAGGGCAATAAAGCTACATATTAAAAAGTAGACTTTATTTCTTCAGTTTAATAAATATCTGGAAGAGAAACACAATAGATTGTATACTAAATGTTTGCACTGTATATATGTAAATCAAGATATGCATCAAATTTGTTGAAGTGACAGTTCAGTTCATTTACATTCCAAGCTCTCACTAGACTAGCCTCCTCCAAAGCTAAATAATTCGCCCAACCTCTCAAAGGGCCCAAGTTATTTAGGTATCATGCTACAAACCACAATAAGTTAAGCTTTCCTTCTTACTGTCCGTGCTATTTGTGGATGGATGAGAAATCGGTTTATTCACCTGCATTATCAGTTTAACATGTGCCTGTATTGTCTAAAGAAAGACACATTGAGGAGCCAGTCAGAGTAAAGCAAGATTCTTTGTCTGAGACACTATGGAGCTATTTATACTTCTGCTTACCAGTAAAAGGTGTTCAGTTGTATTGTGATTACGCAAATAGTTAGATGCTTGCTTGACGTTTACAACCTACGCTAGAAAAATGACAGCTAAATGTCATGAAAATAATACATTTCCTCTTACTGACTTGTCTGCCCCAGGGCCAATATTACAAGCAGTTGTAACATTCTGAAAGCTCATAGTTTGACGCGATTTACATTACTCCGTATATTAAAGATCATTGGTTTGAAATCCCAGCTTTTTTTTTTAGCTTATTACTAGGGTGATGACAGGGAATGGAGTATTTAGGAATATCTGGTTAATTTGAATATACCAGATAGGGACAGCTGTGCTTGTTATAGTTTGTACTTTTCTTATAAATGATAAGAGGGGCAGCTGACAAACAAAGTGTGCAATAGCCAAATAGACAATTTACTTTTTCTGTATTAATACACTTTTATTACAAAATGTTTTAAAAGCAAATGGTACTTAAAGCTGGCAGGTATCAGTGATGTATAAATAAAGGCAAAAAGATGAAAAACAACAACTGTAAATGCAATACATTATCAATGCTAGCAAGCATTATAATGCATAACTATTACAAATAGGAGAAAACAATCATTTTTGAGTTATAATGACTTGGAGTCAATAACTGGACATTGATTAAAGTGAATAATAAATAAATAATAATAATCACTGCTGAATCTTACTCCTACATCTAAAACTGGGGTCTGATGTAAGTCGTGTGCTGCCTAACATAATAAGAAGGGTATATTCCTTTAAGATTGTCTAGAAAAATGCGCAAGTTAAAAAAAAAAGAAACGTGAGCATCTAACATGAAAAGCTACAGGTGTGTTTGTACATTGAGGACCTTTTGAAGAACTTCTATTCATAAAGCCATTAGTGAAGCATAAGCGCCAGAGCTGTAGATAAATAATGGGATGCTACAAGTTGTGACAGGATTAGTAGCTGAAGAATGTCTCTGTGTAGTGCTCATGTTGGATGGCCTATTTGAACATCTGTTTTACCAAAGAGGGAATTGGTTTGTGAATACATTTAGTTCTCCAAGAGATGCACACTTGTACAACAGCAAATGTGAATAGAAAACAAGTAGTGTCCTCAAGCATGATGAACATTAATCTCACCTCACTTAATAATGCCCAAACTGGGGACTCTGTGATAATTTTCAGACGGATGGCTTTCATTTTTCCCAGAACGCTATTAATTTCACCCTCAGCAATGCCATTAATAAACTTGCCTGAGGATAAACAAAACAATGTGTTACAGTGGAAACGTGCTGTAGATTGGACAATGTGGTAAAATTGGTTTGAAACTAGCAATTATTTAACAGGTAATACAGGCTCAGACACTATAGTTTATGATGAAGCTCCAGAATATATAGATATATATCTATAGATATATCACACACATACATACACTATTATTATTACATAGTAATAATAATGTTGTTTTTTTAAAAATATAATTATAAACAAAACAAACAACAACACACAAACTCCAGACAGCCAATATAGGTAACTTTTCATTGTTCTGTAGACACCCAAGCAATGTAGGTTTTCAGAAAGGATTTGTAAAGAGAGGCAGGATGGGGTTCATCAAAGTGTGGACATGGTCTACCATGGAACCCCTTCTTCATTGTGGGTGGTACATGCAAAAACAAAGCATCTAAAAAGGAGGACCGGTAAACTTAAAGCTTCCAAAATGTAAAGATAGCCATGAGTGGATTAGCGGTAGCTTTTTCACATGTTTCTCAGAACTTAGTCTGCTTCATCAGAAAGGTGTAGGAAAGCATCTAGAAGTGACATAAAAGCACATTAGAATGCACACAACAGTTACATTTTAATTGTGTTTTAATATTAAGTTACCCAAGATTAAGATGAAATGTGTCCAATCCAGCTGGTTTCAGCAGCATCAGATAATTATTTTGTCCTTCACGAGCCCCTGTTCACATCTATGCATTGAGGTAACGTGTGTGAAGACGTGTGTTTTCACATGCTTTGCCACAGTGTGCCAAATCACGTCTTACTTTGTAAGATGCGCAGTGGTGCCATTCATTGTTAATGGCGCTGCAATGAACACTGCTGCACCATAAGCTTTCACGTGCCATCTGAGATATGTAGTGCTGGCTGCATCTGCCTGCATTACTCATCCCCTTTCCCCTCCCTTCCCCTCCATGAAATAAGGACACCTCGCCAAACGCAGTGTTCTTGTGCCTTCGGCTTGGCTGCTGTACGGGCTATTGTGAATGGTGCCCGTACAGCAACCCTTCGGTTTGACTGAACCGAAGAGCAGAGGCGGCCGAATAAGAGCTGAAGGATCAGCCGGAGCTACGGCTGTATCCTTCGGCTACATAGTGAATACCCCCTTACTGTTGGTTATTAATAACGGCCATTTAAAACATGCACATGGAAGATTCACTTATAGTAATGTTTCCTGAATGCCAGATTCACTTCGGTATAAATGTGTCCCTAAGGGTGCTTAGACGCAAGTGGATGGTTTTACAAGAGCATCTCGTCACTTCCACGGTTTCCCTGGATACATGTTGGCACTTGCCTATGGTTTGCATTAAACATTGGCGGTATTATGCACTGCATGTGAGCACACCAGCTTCTAATGCACAGTAAGAAGCACCACATTACAGTGATGATGAGGGGTACTGAAAATGAGGAGGTGCCTGCCAAAATGCATTCATTTGCCAACATACAATTCCTTATCTAGGTTAGAAATGGAAGTGAGAACAGAAATGGTGCCACTGCTCACTGATTAGAGAATCTTATTAAGTATTTACAGCCAATTAATGAATAATGGATAGTAACTGCCTGTGCTACTGAGCCACTGTAGGAAAACATAGATCAACAGGTTCCTTCAGTTTCCCAGCCAAACCAAACAATACTATACAATTAATTAATTGGTATTTTGCTTCAGGTTATTTGCCACAGATTTTGGCACAAAACGTGGAACACTTAAACGTACAAGTACTCATCCTATTATATTGTACTTAACACTCAAAATGTAGGCACAACCAATAAAAAAAGAAATACAAAAATAAATACCTTAACATTACTTCTAAGACTGTATTCTACAAGCCACACTTGTCCGTGCATTTTGCTGCATGATAATATATCAAGTAATCAAAAAACCCAGTGCTTTTTTAGGTGACTGGTTTACATCTATACGCTGCAATTTAGTGTGAAAGGGAAACTATGTGGGTCCATGTGTATGTTACCATGCTAGCTGCAATGCACATGCAACAGTGTGAATCCAATTACATACTTTCTATTTATTCTTCTAAGTTCCTTGCGTCAAACCTACAGGTCTTTGAAACTTGCTCTGTAGCCCTTTGCCGACCCCAGTAGTGGAAACGGGGACACTGATTTACAAAGGCTGTAATGGCAGTGATCTTTAACAGTTTAAAGAAGCCATCTCACCTTGTATTATTTTTCACAGCTCAGTAACCTATGCCCCACAGAGTAAGTTGCTTTTTATCCCATGCTTCTGTGTGCAGTAAAAATGGAGATACAGAGGGAAATTTATCAAAACTGGAGCAGACAAAATCTGGAGCAGCTGTGCATGGCAATCAATTAGCTTCTCCCTTTCATATTCAAATCTTAACTGAAGAGAGAAGCTAATTGGTTGCCATGGGCAACTGCTCCAGATTCTGTCTGCTCCCGTTTTTTTTATAAATTCCCCCCACAGACTTTGACAGCTCACTCGTCTTCATTTCTGACCATGCTCTGCAAAGTAGATGGCCTCTTGACTGATCGCTCTTATCTCACTGTCCCTGCACTTTCCAGACACAAGGGAGATCCCAGGAATGCAGGAGGGGGTACAGTCTCACAGGAATCAGCACAGGCACTAGAACTGGAAGGGGAGTCTTTTTTTGGTGTCTGGAAATGTAAATCAAGAATCTGTCTCCTTTGCAGAACATACAGAAGTTGGGAATGGGAGGGAACTTTCATAGTCCTAACTTTTTTCTACTGCACACAGAATCATGTGATAAAAAGCAACATACAATGTGGGGGTTAGGTGACTGAACTGTGATAAATAATACAAGGTGAGACTTCTTCCAAGGTAACATGTCCCCAGTCTCAGATAGTCCCCTGCAGCAGGTTTCAGATCTCCAACAACACCTGTAATATGTTTGCAGTGTAAGCGCATCTCTTCCAGTACGTCTGAAATATCTTACAGTCTTCTGCAGCATTACATATAATATTATGTGTTACCATTGGTTGGTGCTTTCAAGGATCACAACTGTTCCAGATAAACCTTCAGCTCAGAGGTCAACTTGATGACCCTTTTGTCACTGATTTTCAGCATTGCTTTTATACTGTACCTGTCCTGAATGGATTCACGCTAAAAACGTTTTTCAGGTTTATTTAATAACACAGTACAAAACAAAAACTTTAATGTGCTTAGTACTGCAACCACCAGCAACCAATTAGAGTTTTTTCATTTTTTATTGCAAACATCTTCATTGAAAGCATCATATGCGAAAAGAGCATTGCACCACGGAATAGGTACAAATGGTATTGCGTTTTAAAAAATAGATCAACAGATCATACATATATTTGCAAAAAAAAACCCCAAAAACATCAGTTTCCAAACATTCACAACCAATAAGAGCTCAGGGCAGTATAAATCCAGTTAAGGAGGTGGTGCGAGTGAGCGAAAAAGGAGGAGTAAAAGGAAGGGAGCTCAAAAGAAGGAAAAAGAAGTAAAGTCCGTGTGGCTCCCACAGGGCACATTACAGGTAAAATCAGAGGAACTAGGTGACATTATGTGAAGATAAGTATACAAAAATTGAAAGGCTAGCCAGGGGCTCCAAGTGGATCCGAACCTCTCTTCGATGTTCTTTAGAGTGGAGGACAGGTCTTCCATCTGGTAAATATCATTGACTTTATCAAACCACATACATTAGGGATGGAGGGGAGGTTTGTTTCCATAGCAGTGGGATGCACACCTGGGCAGTGTTCAGTAAATCAATGGTCAGGGACCATTGAATTTAGGGATAGAGCTTTTAGTGCGATGGAGCAGGCAGGTTGGCGGGTTCTCCCTCAGATCAGCCATTGTCAGCTGCTCCACGACCCCCAGGACCTTATTCCAGAAAGGACACAGGCTTAGACAGGACCAATTGATGTGGAGCATAGTGCAAGGGGCCGACTGGCACTGCCAACAGAGACACGACACCCGAGGAAATATGGAATGCAGCAGAGTCGGTACTTTGTACCATTGAGAAACAATTTTATATTCGATCTATGTGCAAAGTATTATAAGCGTTCCTTCTGGGCTTGAGAAAATGAAGTGCCCAAGTGCCTCTTCCATTTGGCCACAAAGGTGGGGTCTGAGTTAGGCGCAAGCCCGACATGGAAGCATAAGTCTGAGAAACAACGTGTCGAAAGGGAGCACCCCTGTTTCATAGCGTCTCAAAAGGTGTCAAAGGCCGGGAGAGGGCTTGGGTGATAGGAATAGACCTCAGAAAGTGGCAGAGTTACAGCGCACTCCAATATTCCAATGAAGGGTCCACCACCCGGCAAAGGTCCTCAATAGAAAGCCACTGATTCCGCACTAGGAAATCGCGTATGCGAAAGGTATTTGCAGTGTAGAGACAACCAAGCCAGAAGGAAAATTCAGATCCTCTAGCACAGGGGTCATGGGTAAAGGAAATGGGGACATAGAGGTAGTCTTAAATAAGGATCTCACCTGCAAAAGCGTAGGAGCTATAGTTGGATGCCCTGAAAACCAGGGGGAGAGAGACAAAGCCACGGCAAATCAGCAAGCGGTATAGGGGAGTCTTCCTCCTCCATAGATACCCAACGCTTGGTGCACTAGCAACCAATTCGCTTTTAATTTGCAGATTCCAGATGAATGAGGAGTAAAAATTTGACCACTATACATTATCGCACTTTACATAGTAACTTGCTGAATAAACCTTTATAAAAAGAAAAACAAAAAAAAACCTGCACTGTGGAAGCAGAGCCTTAAAAAGGCAAGCAAAATGTAAAGCATTAAAGGGTAAACAAATGTCCCATTCTGGATCTGTGCTTTCTGCAGTGTAGTTGAATTAGCAGTCATAGGTACAATGCCTTAGATTCAGGGCCGATGCACACCTAGGCGACACCCCACCGTGCGGCAATTGTGCACGATTATGCACGGTCAGGAGTCGCCCAGGTGTGTACTGATCGCGCTGTGCATGCCATTATTTTACAATGGCACCCCAGTCGCGCCGGGCGGATTGTTCGGTTTCCCAACAATGCCGCCCGTGCTTCCAAACACAAGCGTGGCTAAAACAGCCGCGCGTCGTGTATCGCAGAAAAAAAAGGTACTTGTACCTTTTTCCTGCAATACACAACGTGTGGCTGAGTTAGCCGCGGTCGTGTTCGAAAGCACAGGTGGAGTCGCGGGGGGAAACCGCGCGATCCGCCCGGCGTAACTGGGGTACAATTGGAAAATAATGGCACCCACAGCGTGATCGGTGATCACCTTGGCGACTCCAGACTGCGCAGCAATCTGTGCGGAGTCATGCACAATTGCCACGCGGTGGGGTGTCGCCTAGGTGTGCAACGGCCCTCACACTGCAGATGAGCCATCAGGCTGTAGGCATAGGATGCCCTGTTATTGTTCAGGAGGAATTCAAGACAAAAAGGTAGACTTGACTTTTTGGTACCGCTTAACCAAAATTACACCCAAAGGGTGTAATCCTCCGTGCTCCCTTTATGATAGCAAAACCTTTTTTTTTAGTTCACTTTAGGAGACAGGCAAGATTTGTTGATGAAATATAAATTTAGGACTGTGATTACCATAGTCAAGGTTTAATTCGATAGACCTGTTCTTTTCGTTGTAACTAAACAAGGAAGAAGCAAGACCAGTAACAAGAAGATGTGGAAGGTGGCAGAAATAGAATGGCAGAACCAATGTTTACAATGGAATACCCACTGTTGGCATTTAAGGAAATGGCAGAACCGATGTTTACAATGGAATACGCACTCTTGGCATTTAAGGAAATGGAAGAGGACCATTGTTTACCTATTTGTATAAACCCATCTTCATCTATTTGCAGATCTTGCGGAAGATTGGTAACCTTCTGCAAAAAAACACAAAAGATTTTGCATGATTAAATAGTAAAATAAGCATTATTACAAGCATAACACATCCAAACATTTTATATTTACATTCATTCAAAATGTTAATTTATTCAAATTGTCATTAACAAACAAACAGACAAACCAAAAAACAAATATGGATGTGTTAACCATGTCAAACATCTATACTTCCAAAACAGCAATTCAAGAGAAATTATCTATCCACGTTTTTACTTTGCTGGTCACATGCAAATTGTGTGTTTGAGGTCAGATTTTGTTTCAGACTTTATTAAAAACACATTTTAACAACTGTGCAGGGTTTACCTGACTGAATGTAATTTAAATGGATTCTTTATACAGTATATAGGCTCTCATATCACAGTACATAGTTGTTGGTAAATGTTGCTGCTCTTACGCAACTGTCAAGAGTCATTATAGCTGTAGTGTTACCCAGAACCAAATAGAACAATCCTTTGTAAATCTGTTAAAAATCTGCAAGTTTATTGGCATATATGGATGATACAAGAATGTATACTAGCCTGTATATATAATTACCCTACTATTGCTGTAATATGCCTTACTGATTAGCAGGAAATCAAGCCACAGACAAATCAAGCATTTCATATGCACAAAACAATGTTATCTCTAGTGAGCCAAAGAGATTGTAGGAAGTCACCGACACGTTATACAAGCGATCCGCCAGCTCTGTAGCTGGCGGATCACTTGTATGTAAATCCGGGCAGTTTCCCGCGCGGCGGGGCTAACAGGCTGTCTTTTGACGGCCTGTCATATCCAGGAAGCTCTCAGCCGGGAGGCGGTTAAGGACTATCCCACATGTACTGGAGACTGGGTGCTAAGAGTTAACACACTTGCTGGTGACTGCCTGCTGAGAGGCAAATGCACATACGTCGAGTACTGGCAGCGGAGGGCATAATGCAATATAAGCAGGAGAATAGGTGCTAAGAGGTTAAAGCACGCACACTGGGTATTGAGGAGTTAACTCACATGAGCTGGGTACTTGGTGCAGAGGGGTTAACATACATGGGTTAAAGCTTATCTGTTGGGGACAAGTGACTTAGGGGTTGATGCACATGTGCTTGAAGAAGATCACATACACTGAAGACAGATTACTGAGGGGTTAACACTTCTAAGTTAGTGTGTTTTGGCAGGGAACAGGATACAGGAGAAAGACCAATGTGCGTTCTTAAACACAACTTTTGACTACATAGAAGTTACTCAGAAGCAATGACTACTTCTGCAGAGGGGGTTGAGCTTCACACTGAGTGCTGAACCTCCAGCCTGTGTGTCTGGGCTCATTGTGCAATGTCTATAGGGATCATGTGGACAGTGTTCAACATGTAATCTATGTGCTGGTAGAGTAAGACTCCAGACTGATGATACTCTGGATAGAAAGCTAGAGATTGTGCGGGATACAAGGGAAACCCCAGCCGGTGTGTGTGTGCTGGAGGAGGGATCTCACTGGGGAAAGACCAATTTATGTTTTGGAGGTGTATTGTTACTGGGGAAGGACAAGAAAAGGGGCTGAGTTGCATAGAGGGAAAGTGAAAGTAGAACTTCTAAATGATAGAATAAAAAGAAGGACATTCATGACTTCTGCAAGAACTGCAAGTTTCACTCTGATCACTTCAGAGAACATCTTAGACACTTCACTATAATAAACTTGGAGCTTGTGGTCTTAATGTACCAGTCAAGAAGGGTTTCAGGTTCACACACATAACACGTATGTGGGCATAACAGCAATTATCAATGATTTGGAACCACGCCATTTAAGTTAGTATAGCTCTTCCGGCTTTCATTCGCAATATTAGCCATGCATTACTAACCTCTGCTGGTAAAACCTGGACAGTGGTGTTAATCAGCTTGTCACCGGGATGTTCTATGTTTCCACTTCTGAATAGGTAACTAACAAAAAAAAAAAAAAGTTTCATGAAATTCTGTATGTTTACATATCATTAATTTTTGTTGCTACTATAGGTGCACCGAAATAGAAATTTAAAAACCGAAACCGGAATAAAAAAAAAATGGTCAGGCCGAAACCGAAAGTTTATTTTTTTCTTTTCTTTTTGTTTATAAACTTTTTAAAATGTATTTATTATTTTTTATTAAATATTTTTATTTTTTACTATACTTTTAGGGGCTTAGGGGAAATATTAGGGGGCTAAAAAGTCCCCTGATATTTCCCTTTTAGAATAGAAAAAGAGATTGGAGGACACAGAGTCCTCAATCTCTTATTCTGTATCCCCTGTTCTCTATCCTGAGTATTCCTGTTCATTTATAACATGAGAATATAGCATGTTTACTATAACCACAATTATGAATCAACACGAGGTGATTTAGCTCACTTCCCATTCATTTATAGTTGAGGATATAGTCAGTGCCGGTGCTAGGTTTCCTGCCTACACAGGCAAGGTGCATTTTAGCGCCCCCCCCTCTCCGACCCCCTGTAAAACTGCCCCGATGTCAAAAATGCCCCGATGTTTGCGCTATGTTTTTTTTTTCCACTTACCTTCGGCGCGGGAGAGCAGCGGCGAGTCAGCGCTGGTCCGGTGGGAGGAGCTCCAGGTGGGGTGCTAATTTAGCTGGCCGGCGACTGCCTGAGGTGCCGCGCGTGTCGGGATCCTC